TAGAAAAAGGCCATTAACCACATTTTAAAGTAGGTACAGTATATTATGTGTGTGTGTATTTTTTTTTCAAGGCAGAGTCCGCTCTGTTGCCCAGGCTGGAGTACAGCAGTGGTAAGATCTGGGCTCACTGCAACCTCCGCCTCCCAGGTTCAAGCCATTCTCTTGCCTCAGCCTCCTGAGTAGCTGGGATTACAAGTGTATGTTATCACAACCAGCTAATTTTTGTATTTTTAGTAGAGACGTGGTCTCCTCATGTTGGCCAGGCTGGTCTCAAACTCCTGACCTCAAGTGATCCATCCACCTCAGCCTCCCAAAGTGCTGTGATTACAGACATGGGCCACTCACTGCACCTGGCCACATCACATGTATTAATGAAAATTAAAAACGTGGTTTTTCTTAGGTTAAAATAGTAATGTTGACAAATTTCATCTTACGCCACATCTCAGGTTTGAATTATGATGTCATTAATTACCTATATAGACTCTAACATAAAATTAAAAGTATTACTTCAAATCTTACAATATCATCAAGAACTTATCCATCTAATTCAATTAACTGACCTAAGTATCTTTCATAATTTTATTTTCATATTAATAGCCAATCATTTCCCCTCTTCCAACAATTCACACTTGTTCTATATAGTAAGGTTTCAAAATGACAAGTTTTTTCCACCCAAGTCAACCTTGAAAAGGCAAGGACTGCAGGGAAAACAATGAGAAATGAAAGAAATCTCTTGCTACCCTCAGATCTACCAAGCTACCCTTAAGAGCCAACTCTAAGTTCAAAAAGAAAAAATAAAGTGGGCATATAAAAAACTCTTAAAAATGTAGAAGAAATTAGACTAGTTTAGATTTCTTTAATATCTTCTTTAATATGACATTACAGCACACAACTGAGCCCCTAGTGTGTTAAACATGGGGATGTATATCCATATGAAGAGAATGGAAACAAGTTTAATCTTAACCCCATTCCTTTTGGCAAGTAATAGAAATACAGCATACAAATGGACCAATTCTCTCTCAGTGTATTTTATCAAGTCTTTGAAGACACCATAATAGTTTTATAATGAACTTTGCTGTAATCTGTTAAAGAATCCTCAAATTAAATTACAGGGATGGTTTGTTTTAACTCAAACACAGTAAAATGGGGATTGTACTAATAATCCCCTCATGAAGTATAAGGATTAATGCTCATGTAAAATCAATGCAGCTATTTCCCTATCACTGAGATACAGTGTTAAATATGGTGTCTTCAGCTGCTTATAAAAAGGGTTAAATATAAGAACAAAAGAATTTTCATCCTGAATTACAGTCAGTGAAACAAACGAAAAAAAATTTAAATCAAAGCTTGTGAATGGTATTATATGATTTGTCACTAAACATACATATGCTCAAAGCACTTTAAAAAAGTTTTAAGTTGTGATTTAGCCAGAACTTCTGCAATACCCATAAGAAATTAGGTAAAATTCTAATGTTCTGGTAACCAACATATTAGGAAGCAACAGATATTAAATTTGAAAGAAAATTAAACACACAAAATAAAAGGACTATTTTAAAGTAAGGGCATAAGAATAGGAGTTGCTAACTATAGCACTGAAGCTTTTCGTTGGAAATATCTTAAACTTACAGGGAAGACAAACAAGGTGGGCAAAATATGCAGATCTAAAGCAATGACAAGTTACAGTAGAAGAGGGAATGCATTCTCTAATCCACAGGATCAGGTATGTGGCTCTAGGCAGTTACCGGGAAATATTTTGGTGTTCTTCCTATCATGTTAATTTAAAAATTTAAACTGAGTTACAGTAGTTTTATAAGTTAAGAGCTGACACAGCAAATTACAAGAACTCTAAAATTATCCTTCCTTAATTGGGTAGGATTTACCATATCCACCTGAACAAACCCATTTCCCCATCCTGAGATCTAAAAGAATGTGAATATTGACCCATTTTAATGCTTTTCAAGTTCAGACGGAAGCCATACTGGACACCAGTCCTGATTTTAGGAAACAGCACAAAGCAAACTCCTAAAATCAACTCACTTAGAAAAGAAAGGAGGCAGGGGGTTCTAGGAATTCCTCCAGCCACAAGTCATTCCAATCTTCCTGTTAATGCAAAATCCGTTTGTATAAACGGCTAAATAATAACTTCCAAAAAACCTCCAAAATTATGTTTCAGTTTCAAATTAAAGAACTTCAAGAATTTTCAAAGAATCTAGTATCAAAACAGATCTTTACCAGTTCACATTTGTTCCATATTTTGCATTAAACAATAGGCTTAATGATTACTTCATTATGGCATACACATCAGAACCTAATCTTTCAGAAGGCCTCACTGACAATCCAACTGCTTTTGGGAATTTATCGGTTATCTACAGGGAACACCTGACTGGCAGTTAGAGCCAGGTCATACTGCAATTTAAAATATTCCAACTCGGCTGGGTGTGGTGGCTCATGCCTGTAATCCCAGGACTTTGGGAGGCCGAGGCAGGTGGATCATGAAGTCAAGAGATCGAGACCAACCTGACCAACATGGTGAAACCCCATTCCTACTAAAAATACAAAAATTAGCTGTGCATGGTAGCGCATGCCTGTAGTCCCAGTGACTGGGGAGGCTGAGGCAGGAAAATCACTTGAACCTGGGAGGCGGAGGTTGCAGCGAGCCAAGATTGCAACACTGCACTCCAGCCTGGTGAAAGAGTGAAACTCCATCTCAAAAAAATAAAAAAAATCGTTAAAAGTGAATGAAAATGGCCAGATATAAGACTTAGGGACATGTACCCAAAATACACAATTTTAAAAAAAAAAAAAAAAAAAAAAAAAGTCAAGACTCAGCCCTGTGCTGTATTCAGGAGACCCGTTTCACATGCAAAGACACACATAGGCTCAAAATACAGGGATGGAGGAAGATTAACCAAGCAAATGGCAAGCAAAATACTGCAGGGGTTGCAATCCTAGTCTCTGATAAAATAGACTTTAAACCAACAAAGATCAAAATAGACAAAGAAGGGCATTACATAATGGTAAAGGAATCAAAGCAACAAGAAGAGCTAACTATCCTAAATATATATGCACCCAATGCAGGAGCACCCAGATTCATAAAAGAAGTTCTTAAGAGACCTACAAAGAGACTTAGACTCCCATACAATAATAGTGGGAGACTTTAACACCTCACTGATACTATTAGACAGATCAACAAGACAGAAAACTAACAAGGATAATCAGGTCTTGAACTCAGCTTTGGACCAAGTGAACCTAACAGACATCTACAAAACTCTCCAACCTAAATCAACAGGATATACATTCTTCTCAGTACCATGTAGCACGAATTCTAAAATTGACCACATAATCCACATAATTGGAAGTAAAACACTCCTCAACAACAGCAAAAGAATGGAAATCATAACAAACAATCTCTCTGAGCACAGTGCGATCAAATTAGAACTGAGGATTAAAACACTTACTCAAAACTGCACAACTACATGGAAACTGAACAACCTGCCCTTGAATGACTACTGGGGGAATAACAAAATCAAGGCAGAAATAAATATGTTCTTTGAAACCAATGAGAACAAACACACAACGTACCAGAATCTCTGGGACACAGCTGAAGCAGTGTGTAGAGAGATATTTATGGCACTAAACGCCCACCAGAGAAAGTAGAAAATATCTAAAATTGACATACTAACATCACAATTAAAAGAACTAGAGAAGCA